GGTTGTGTAGGGTGTCTAGAGTTTACGACTTTTTTGGCGGATTAGGAGCTTTAGTGCTTGAAGTTTGGAGTTTGGGAGTTTAAGGTCTACAGGGTCTTGGCAAACCCAATCCCAATCTTAGGGGGCCTGGCACACCAAGAAGCCTACTAAGGAGTTCTGCGGTTTCCGATTGCAGGGATCACATTTTTAGTGTTCTCCAGTTTTTAGAACAGACTAGAATCCTAGCATTAAGCAACTTCACGTCTCTACTAGGGTCGTTTAACCAGGTCCAGACTACGATCGCTTATAATCCGAAGCTCCCAAAGGGGAGGGATGATGTGGCCTCTAGATCGTGATCATTCCTTGTGCCCCTGGGGTTAAGGGCTTGGGAAGATACAACTAGTATATTCCTATAAAGCCCAAACCCGAACCAAAAGGGGATCCGTTCCGAACGAAGCGGAGACGAAGCTAAAGATGACAACGTACTGGCCCGGCACGCAGCCCAGCGACTCCAATATCCCTTAATTAAGAGACACACACCTTAAATCATATCAGGGATCCGACTATAATTTAAGGAATGTTCCATACTTCAGGGATATTGGAGTTTCTAGGAGCTAAACTGTTGCTCCGCCGCTCCTTAACGCCAAATCTCCAAGCCCCTGCTAGGCCTCCAGAATCAAGAAGCAAAGCTGTAATCGCAAAATGCCTCCCTAACCGAAGATGGAGTCCCGGACAACCCCCCCCACCCCAAACCCTAGACCCCTAAACCCTAAAACAGTTTGCGATTGGAGCAACGAGCTGACTGTAAAAAGCCTTGCGACCTATGTGAAAGCCTCGGTGCTGACTCTCGCCACCCTCAACTTTACCCCCTAAACCCTGCATGGTCGAGCCTAGCCCCAAACTACCCTAAAACTGAAACCCTGAAGCCTAACCCCAAACTCTACACCACAAGATTGGCCCTGCCTCGAGTCTCGAACGCTCCGACTTCAGCCTAGGCATTTAGGGTTTAGGGTTCCTTTAACGGTTACTCTAAGGGTTGAGGCTTTAGGTCTAGGGTCTACGGAGTCTACGGAGTCTACGGTACTTGGAGGGGATCGGGATGTGAGTTCCAGGGTATTGGGGAGTTGAGGGTCAACGCTTCAAGAGATCCCAACGCTCCTCGCCCTGCAGCCTACATCCCACAACGCCCCAACCATTCAGGTGTACGGGAGGGGGGAGATCATGAACCGAACTGTACTTAGCCGAGCACACTTTTGCCCCGAGCGCCTCGCGCCTTAAGCCAACCCTGAACTCGAACTCTAGTCAAGTGATACCTATAGTCTCCATTGTAGTTCCTAATTTGGTTTAAGCAAATTTATATCAAGAATCCTAAAAGGTAACCCCAAAAAAGGAACTACAATGGAGACTATAGGCACTATTACTAATCATTCCGACCCCTTCTTTTTCGTTCCAATACGAGATGGCATTCAACCCAATGCTGCATAATCACAAGAGTGTTTTCCAGCAAACCCCTGCCATGGAGCTGCTGGGCATATGTTGGATATGCTCCTCAATGAAGAAGCGCTGACGGGTTTCAACAGGCACAAAGCTCAGGCTCATAGGGATCCTTAGGGGTGTAGGGGGAGGGGGGGGGTAGGGGGCCTGAAGGCCCATAGTAAGGACTAATAAGGCCTATTTAAGGAAATATAGTCCCCTACACCCCTCCCCCCTGCACCCCTAAGGATCCCTATGACAGGCTGTTCCACCCTCCCCCAACCCTGACCATCAGCAAAGGAGCGCGTCTCGAGCCTCGCGACTCTCTGCCACCTCCCAGCATGCTTTTTCTAACAGAAGGGACTGCCATGGGGCCTGGGTTTTTGCACACCCAGCGTTTTGCACTTTTTGCACTACTTGTTCGGTACTTGTCGTTCAGGGTTGCTTTGCATGCTTCGGAAGGCCCTCTGGACCCCTGGAAGTCCTGCAAGCCGTAGTTATAAGCACAAGCCTTACACCTTACACCCTAAACCTTCAGCAAAACCAAAAAAACCAAAAAAAACAAACAAACCAAAAAAACAAAAAAAAAACAAAGATTTCCGCACTAGTCGGAATCCTTCAGACTAGTGCGGAAATCTTTGTTTTTGTGTTTTTTTTGGTTTGTTTGGTTTTTTTGGTTTCCGCCACCGCTGACGTGCCCGGACAACCTTCCGCTGTGGCTGTTCTTTTGGGTGTAGGGTCTACGTAAACAAGACTACTGTCTAATCTATCTTATGTGATGCTTATAAGCAGTCCGGCTGCTAATGATTCCACGCAGGCTTTCTGCTTATAAGCAATCCGGCTGCTTATAAGCAGGCTGTCTGCCTATAAGCAATCCGGCTGCTTATAAGCAGGCTGTCTGCTTACAAGCAGGCCGGTTGCGGCCTTCTGCTTATTAGCCCTGCTTCTGCTTATAAGCAATATCCTGTTGTTTACAGGCACTCGGGGGCCGTATGAGTAGCTATTCTAACCCCACCCACGCGTGCGCCAGACACCAACCAAGACGGAGAACACGAGAACCCGCACCAATTGCACAAACATTACCGTAAATTTGATGACCTGTTGCATGTTTGATATGGAAGAACATGCCAAGCTTACCTAGCATACCACACGACCTGAATTTGTCATCATTTCCGGTTTCACGGTGTGTGCTAAGAATTCAATGGACCAAGCACCATGTAAACCATAGGCATATATCAAAGGGAGTCGCGAGGATGGAAGGCATCCAGATGGGCCTCGACCATAAGGAACCGTGGAGACTTATCTCTTGAACACGTGGTCATATACTGCCGCACTATGTCATAGAATAGATACCAGGTGCTAGAAAGTCCCTTCTACACGTGGTGTTTGCCTTTTTATACACACAAATATTGCAGACATACATGTAGATAAGTTATCTGACCATCTTCCATCTATCTATCTGCCTATCCATGTATCTATCCACCTATCTATTTGTCTACCCATCCATCTGCACATTCATATACATACTGGTCTCAGCATGGATGATGTCACCGACCTCTTAACCTGGCAACTTGGAGATATTGTAAAACCCTGATACAATCTATGACAGGATATGTTATGGCACCGCACAAGAGACAAAGCACACGTGTATAGTGTATATGTTTTCGCCGATTTGCAGAAATACCGTCTTGACACGGTCACATTAGCTGTGCGTTGTTGTGGGGCCCATTATAGCAAGTCATTGAGTAATGCGGCTGTATTGAGATATTGCAATAAACATTGAACTGAGTACTCACACGCCACAGCCTTCAACGAGTCAAGACATAGGGGAATCAGAACACGGAAAGTCGGCTCTGCCCCCGAGAGTACCGGGTGTTAAAAATGTAGAATAATTACGCTGGAACGATGCAATAATTGCTCATGTTTAATACTTCCTTTCATTTCGCTTACAAGCGCTGGCGTATCTGCCGTGCACTTCGTATTGAGGCAGTAGAGCGTACCATGGTAGTGCAAACACAGAAGCAGTGCATGCATAGGCTTGTGAGTGTATGTATCCCTGTATGAGCTAACGAAGGCATGCCCGGGTTTCTGTGTGCATCGTTAGTTACAGCGCCATAAAACCAGATGCGTATATATATATATATATATATATATGTGTCCCCTACTGGCAGAAATATATACAGTTTTGCGATAGTCATTGGGATTGCGGATTGGTCTGAGACGCCACAGAAGCAAGTCGTACTGACATGCTGAAATACTACAGTACAGACTCAACTGCGTAGTACTCTCGCAAACACACAGACCTTCAGCACCGAGTCAGGACATCAGGGGATCAGAATACGGCAAGTCGGCTCTGCACCTCAGAGTACCGGGTGTTAACATGGTAGGTTAACGTGTTAAAATAAGCTGGAATGATACATGAGGCAACTACTTAAATGATTTTTTCATTTCGCTTCGAAGCAGCTTAGTGGATTGTGGTGGTAGAGCATTCCAAGGTAGTGCAAATATACAAAAACACATGTACGGGCTTTTGAGCTTATGCTTGCGTGCATGTGTATGTGTAAGAACAAACATGCCTCCGCATTCACGTATATATACATGCACATACGTACTGCATAATGTTACACTTTTGTGAACAGTAGCATGCGTAAATGCATGCGTGCATAGTACAATTCTATATGAGACCAAGAAACACAGTACTCAAAAACACAGGCCCCATGGCAGGCCGCTCTCTTTTCTAAAGCTGGGTGGGCGTTTCGGCTGGGCTGAAAAATCTTTTCTGCAAGCGATTTCTGTCTGTCATTCAGACCCTAATGCAAAGAGGCAATCACCACAGCAAAAATCCGCAGTTTTGCGGCAGTCACAGCATGCAAATCCCGCAACTTTGCAGATGTTTCGAGACCTGTCATTCAAACCCTAATGCAAAGAGGCAACGACTGCAGTTTCATGAGCACGCATGGAGGGGGCATATTGGATCCCAATAAGCACCCTCCATGCGTGCTCAGCAAATCCGCAGTTTTGCGGGGCAGTCGAATCCCGCAGTTTAGCGGATTTCTCGAGACCAAGTCCACTCTCAGAGTCGAATTGTACCTGGCAGACGGTCAGACAAAGTCGAGTTGAAGGACTCAGGTTCAAGGAAAGGCTTCGGCCCGGGAACACAATGAAACAGCCCTGAAGCCTCTGTCCCAGCCTCGAGCGAGCAAAGACCGAGCCCGACTCGGGAATGCGTGGTCCTCTGCCACACACTGCACATATGAGTCTATGCCCACGCAAGGCTCCGGCCAGATATCCAGCCCCCATTGTCGTCGGCCTAGGACCAGCAGGCACACACTTACAGCATCCAAGCTTGCTGACAAGGACAAACTCAAAGAGAACAGCATCCGCACACACATTTTTCTGTCTGCCTTTGTGCTTGGCAGAATCAAGGAGAGACAGAGACTTTTCCCCAGCCTCTGCTGCGAAATCTAGACCCTTTGCAAGGCCAGAATAGCTGCCAGAAGAGCAGCTCCAACACATGGGACGTTCATTGCATTCCCGGCAAGCATCACTGCAGAAGACCTAGACAGGTGAGACCTGGCCAAGACCGGGCTGCCGCAACTGGCCTGATCCTTGTTCGTGGCCAAAACATGGGATTGAAACATTTCGTCCGCGGTCATGAACCGCTTCTTGGCCTGCATCGGAAATAGCGGGACACTCCAGAATTCAGCACATGATTGCATGACCCCGGCTCAAGACCAAGTGCCTTGCTGAAGAGTTTCGCGCTGTTGGTGGTCAAGGTCGGCAGGTGGGAGCTGTTGAGCGTGCCACGACGAAATGCTCCCCTCTGTCCCAAGTCAACAATGTCCCATGGCTTTTCGTCGTAAGTCCTTAAGACTGAGGCCTCAGACTGAGTCAGGGAGGATGCATTGGCATTGCGATCGCAGAAATAGTCTCCCGCTCCCAGACAAGGCCTTGCCGCCAGGCATGCCACCATGTCTGCAAAGCACGGCACGTCCTGAGACCAGCAGACCTTCTCCGTGTTGTAAGCGATAACATAGAGGCGAGCCCTGGCACAGCCCAGTCCAAAGGTCCTTGGGTCAACCCGAACACTCTGCTGCTTCCATGACTTCGGAAGACGTAGCTGCTTCAGGTCGTACTCACACACGTTCTCGAAGAGGTATGCATCCAAGACCTGGTAGCACTGGCGGAAATACCTACGATGCGTCTTCATGACCTTGTCCTTAGACTTCTTCCGCAGACCCATCACGGAGTAGCTCGTGCACGGCGCCCCGCCCACCGACACAAGGAGACCTCGAATCCGTTGATTTATTAATTACTTAATGGAGAACAGACGGACAAGACTAACCCCACCGTCACATACATACATACACATGACATGGACCTGGGATTGCTCACCAAACGAAGTCTAATAATGATATGTTGAAGCTTGTTGTGGAAAGTTCGTTTGGTGACATTCCTCGAACATATACAGCTATTTGCGAGTTGAGACCCACAGACCCTGTCAAACATGTCCAGCTATTGGCGAGTTGAGACCCACAGACCCTTTCAAACATGTACAGCTATTGGCGAGTTGAAACCCACAGACCCTTTCAAACATGTACAGCTATTGGCGAGTTGAGACCCACAGACCCTGTCAAACCTGTACAGCTATTGGCGAGTTGAGACCCACAGACCCTTTCAAACATATACAACCATTGGCGAGTTGAGACCTACAGACCCTTTCAAACACATACAACCGTTGGCGAGTTGTTGAGGCCCACAGAGACCCATAAAATAAAAATGTTCGAAAGGTCCACCCATCTGCACCATCTTGCAAACTGAAGACATGTTGTGTTTGAATTATGAGCCGAGCTCCAGATGGTAAAACCCTGACACTGTAAAACTAAATGTCGCGTTGAGAACCTTTGCCATCACCTTCCAAACCTCAACCCCTTCTTCATCGCCTCTTGCCTATGACACGGCTAAGATGATGGGAGGAGACCGAAGCTGCAGACTATTTTAATGCTGATGGTGGACGTGCTACAGATCCCCAGCACTAAGGCTCTCAACTCAGACAGGTAGCCGGACCCGCGCTGCGATGGCCAAGTCGGGCACTCCATTTTGTGACGCAAGCAGTGGTTGGTCTTTGCGGCCATGTCAAACTCAAAGATGTCCTGGGCGAGGCAAGACCCGTATGTGCCCAGCAAGACCTTTTGGGCGCCGAGGTCCGACTCGACCGCCCATCGGAGCCTCACCGCTTGTCCAGCACCGGCCGCTTTTTGGATGGTAAGCAATGCCTGCTGGAAGACAGAGGCGGAAAGTATGAAAGGCACGTGACGGATGTCCACTTTCACTCTGCTACCCTAATGACTGGTCAAATAGAGACACAACAGTCCGACAAGCGACCGTCTCCGCACAGCCGACCCCAGTGAAAGTGCTGATAACATCCCAGTTCCAGCTCTGCAACCTCTTCCGGACCAGACCCCGGCCCATGTTTTTCTCCAGCCGATCCAGAAAGACCGTGGCCCAGTCATAACTAGCAGAGATAGTTGTAGGGCCTTCGGGCCCATCCTTGGCTGCCTTCGGGATGTCAGTCTTAGGCCAACAAGCCTGCTTCTCCCGAGGAGCCTGCTTGAAGGTCTTCATCGCGACCTTCATGCATGTTTTCGTACTGGTCCTGCACATCGCAACTGTGCGAGGCAAACTGACCTAAATCGAAACTTCAATCACAAGACTCAACACACTCGCCAATATTGTCGTCCTCGCCTTGGCCTTTTTGCTGGCCTGGCGCGTTTCGATATCTTCGCCATGGCTGCTTTAGCAGGCTAGACCTATAGACAGTCCGTCCTTGAGTAACGGCCGCCAGTCCGCATCGCAGGGAATGTTTGAATAATTTGTAGAGCACACATAGTCATGGTTTCACAACGAAGTTCGGCAAAAGTGTTTTAATGCTGGCACACTCCTTCCTGTCTTCCCTGGCATGAATCCTCCGGGCCGCACCTATGACGATGCTCGGCGTCACCATAGATGCGGCCCAGAGGGCACCGACAGGGGCCGTCTTGGTGGCTCTGCCACCTGCAGCTCTAGCAGTGACGCTCGCTTGACCTGGAAACGGGCCTGGAGCCCGCGCAGCCCACACAGTGTGCAGCTCCAAGCCCGTTTCCAGGTCAAGGAGTGCTCTCCTGAAACAACAGAGTTTGCAAAGCAACAGCGACTGCGAAAGCATGCAGGCGTGCTTTTAAATTTCATTGGCAATGAGGGACGCCATCAGCACAATGTCTGTGCAACTGCTCGCCAACGACAAAGTTTTCCGAATGAAAGACCGCTCTCCCAGCATCAACTTCCACTACTCTAAATGAGACACAGCTGCACACACCTTGTCGTAACATTGCACCAAACAGCCCCTGCGAATTCCTGGCATCGAAAACCAAACCTAGACCTATAGGGAAGTGCCAGCGGGTTTCAGGAGACTCAGACCTCCTCAAGCTGTTGTCGACGCCGAAGACATGTCATTGCAAATTGCCTAAGCTTAGCTTGGCACACATGCAATTCTCTGCAAATCAACAATTAATCTTCAGCCCCATCATCCGCTACGGAAACACAAAGCAGCAGCAAACGAGACCCAGGTGCTATCACAGAGTGCCACTCGCAGCTCGCAGATCGTCGACTGCTGAAGGAAACGGTTTCAGTTTCAGGACGCCTCAGCTGCGAACAAGCTCGTCAGACCATGTAGCTACTCAGGCCACTGCATTTGCTAAATCAACTTATTATTGTTAACCACCAGCCAAGCGGCGAGCGGCTCATTCAGACCTTGACAGCTCGAGCAGCTTAACGGTCTGTCAAGCTGCTCGAGGAGTCAAGGTCTGCGCGAGCCAGCTGACACTTCATTCCATGACAAAGCAGATGGTAAGCCTGACATAACAGACCCACAACCAGTGATCTGCAATCAAAGCGTCCTGACAAGTGGCAGCTTGGCGAAAGAAGTCGTCGTTGTGACTGCTTCCAGTTCTTGACCTGCCCCAAGCCCAGTACACTGGAAGGGTCGCTCCTCCTGCCAAACTGACGTCATGGCGTCTGTGTCCTCATGTCCCTCAGTTGCTCAGACGCAGCTTACTAGTGACACTGGGTGGCCCGAGAGTCCTCGAAGACTGCCGGCAACGTCGCTCTTCGAAGACCATGAGGCCGTCGGTGTCGGAAGAACCAGTGCAAGGACACTTGCCATGCCGAAGACAAGGGTGCAAGTCTGTGGATGCCCTCGAGTCGATTTTTGGGCCTTAAAATGTGATCTTCAGAGAAATCCCTTAAGACCTACTTACTAAGTCCATTCATGCATGGGCATGGACATGACCTTCCAACTGCTCCATCTCAAGTCTCGCCAGCGGCAGTCGATGCAACCACTTGCTGCAAGCTTCAAGTCAAGCGCCGAAAACAATGACAGACAAACACGACCAGCAGCTGAGCAGCCGGCCCGACCTCGTGGACGTCTGGGTCTACACCTGACTGAAACGGAAATTCAAGAATCATGCTGGGCATATGTGCCGCTGGAAGCTTGCTGCACCCACCAGCTATTCAAAGGCATCAAAAAACCGGCGAAACCATCATAGAAAGACTGAGTCCAGAAAGGCTGCAAGCAAGCGGAGAAGAAGTCCAACCCAGACCTGTTAAAATTGACTGATGATCCCAAGCCTAACACTGGAAGCAAAAGCACAGGGTCGCGAATCCTCGTCGTAGTGGCGAAGAAATGTCCAAGCCAGGCCTGCCGTGTTGCAGGCAAGTTAGCCGACTGTCGAATGAGTCGCTACTAACCAACTGCTGCCTGGCCGAGAAGCAGGATGTCGACGCTAGACCTTTCGCGGCATAAAACCCAGGAAGCAAAACTCACATTTCAACTGCCTTCCAAACACGGCATCTGGCTAGAAGCCGGCAAGACCACGCCAGCAGCCGACCTTTGCACAAGAACCGCCACGGCCATGTCTTTCTACCTTTCTAGCCGTTGCGCAAATCGCACAACGTTGATAGGCTGACCACTGCAACAACTATCACCGAGGCAACTGCTGAGAAAGAGAACTTGAGGCCAAGCCCATCAGACCTGACACACAATTTAATTTCACTGCAAATGTTCTGCAAATTATGCAGAAGCTGGAATCTTGGCTGGTGCCCGCACCTTCAGTCTGAACTCCGAGGCCTTTTATGAGACTCAGTCATCTACCCTGCACTGTGACACAGTCACACAATCATCTGCCTGCGGAGTATATCAATAACAGCTGGAGCCAGGACGCAGAAGACATGATCAGCTGGGGCCCAAACGGCGCTCGAGGAGTTTGGCCTAGAGGGCAGTGGGCCCTATAGCCCGATACTGACCGCCTTGATTAACGTCCTACCCTGACACAGAGAACCTTACTGACACGTGTATTATTTAATTTTGTCTTCGGGCACGCATCGGTCTGGGAGCCAGGAACCAATTTCTCAGACACTGCCATACAAAGATCGTGCGACGCCTTGCCGAAACGACGCCCGGTCCAAGCCTCATCAGAATCGAGACCATCGACGCGGCTGTACACCAAATTAACTGTAACTGTACCGTGTCTCAGGCAACTAAATTAGACCATTGCCACCAGCGACCTGTCTTGCTTTGATCGAGCATGCGAGACCTAGACCCAGAAAAAAGCAAGAAGTGGAGCTCTTAAGCCCAATATGGGGCCCACCAGGGTTGTTCCAACAACCGGGCCACTATTCTCCCAGGTGCAGCCCCAAGCTTGTCGTTGATATGGAGTTTGGATGCACTGCTGCTTTTATTGGCTCTGTCGGGTCGAAGTCGATGACCAAAGCCAGCTCGGAGGACATGACTGCAGGCAACGCGCACAAAGAGCATGTAATGCAAGCTTCAGACTCCGTGTATAATTTATACAAGAAGTCTCAAGTCGCATTACATGCTCTCAAACCCTGTTTCAGCAGGGCAAAGACAATGCATCATGTCGAAAATTGGATTGCGCATCTCCCTCTGGCCAGCCCTTGACTTGGTAGTAGTAGTCTAGTAGTAGTAGTAGTAGTAGTAGTAGTAGTAGTAGTAGTAGTAGTAGTAGTAGTAGTAGTAGTAGTAGTAGTAGTAGTAGTAGTAGTAGTAGTAGTAGTAGTAGTAGTAGTAGTAGTAGTAGTAGTGGTAGTGGTAGTGGTAGTGGTAGTGGTAGTGGTAGTAGTAGTAGTAGTAGTAGGAGCAGTGGTAGTAGTAGCAGTAGTAGTTGTAGTAGTAGTAGTAGTAGACGAAGTAAGCAGTAGTAGTTAAGTCAAGTCCTTGAGTCCTGTCTATGACACCCTGATTCATCTAGGTCTGCCGAGTTGAGCCAGTTTTGCTGCAGTCGGTGTGCCCCGTCACTGGACCTGCTCACCAAGACCATGAAACCCGTGAGATGGTTCCCTGCTGTGCGTTCCGGCTGCTGCTTGTGGCATGTGGGAGCTCTACTTTCATTCATGGTTTCTGTGTCACAGCGGCCCTGCTGATGCAATCATCGGTTTAATCATGTGACACCTGGCAACGCGCATAGCCACTGATCATATGCCAAGTTCAAGACCTTCCATGGAACACACGTCCTCTAAACTCCCGTCGGGCTTCTACGAACACAGCTTCTGTCAGTGGTGCCCCAGCCTCCAAAAGCCCAGACAGGAAACCAACTTCAATCCAAGGTGTAGAATCAGAAGGACAGATGCCACCTGACTTAATCAATTAAAGGCGGACAGCGAACAGCCACGAACCAAGCCTGCCAGGACTTGTCATTTGAAGCCGTGCGCGGCAGGCACCTGCACACGAGCCAATAGATTTCGTGCGACGAAACTGCATCGTAGATGTTGGAAGTCAATGATTCATGCAGCGGTTGCAAAGTTTCGGGGGTCCCTGGGGTTTCTGCCTGGGGGATAAGAGTTACTTAAGATACGACATGACAGGAGTTCCACTGTGATCACGGCAGTCATACACAAAGTCATCTTCCAAAACAAGCTACGGGGCCATGCTGACCCCTCAATTTTGTTAGTGTTGCCGCTAGATGCTGCTTGTTGGGGTCAGAGGCATGAAGCACTTTTTGTCGGTGCTGCAACACGGCCCTGCATCACCTGCTTGTGACCTGAATCCAGTGGAATTAGCGTTGTCATCACTTGATCTTGGAAACCAAGACTCGGTCCTAGACCTAAACTCTCTGCCTTCCGACACCAGCTCACTCTGGATTCAAGTATTTCCCACAGCGGACAGACTTAGACTTGGTGACACGCATATGGCGAATCAACCCCGGGATATCGGCGAAGCTTGAAAGCTTCATGTGCTTAGACCGAGACTTGCTCGGGGGCTTCTCATCCACGATGCTCCACTTACTGCCGCTCACTTCCGTCAAGAGCCGCAGTAGCTTGGTGTAGTTCTCGCGCTTCTGAACGAAGTCTGGGGCCAACTCCAGTGCAAGCTGAGACTTGATAGCTGATTCGTGCTCTGTGCAGTGGCTGGCGAGTGCCCTGAAGTCCCCAGCGCTTTCCGTCCAGGAGTTCTTGGAGACCATTGGGAGACCCAGACCGAAGCCCACCAGCAGCCCTTTGATCACTTCGGACTTCATCTCTTGCCTTGTAGAGCAAAGATGACTCATGGCAAGAAGAACTTAAACTGTTTCCTAAGTTCTCAAACGAGATATGCCCGTTGAACGGATTCCAAACACCGACCACTACTACCTGAAACCTCACAGTGGCAGAAACTACTGAGGCACAAGCCCGATGAAGTTCAACTGGATCTCATCATCGATGATTATCACATCGGTGGCTTTGGCCAGATCGAGGAGAGACGTCATGCTGAGACCGTCTGTCCTGCACATCTTGCATCGTGGAAAGGATGTGGCGGAGGTCAGACACCTCAGCCAGCCCCCGGGTCTAATAGTTATTCGTCGCATGTTACGACTTGCCACTGTGCTGTCACTGCACTAAGCTCTGCACAAGTCCATGGCCGAGATCCGTCGTGTGTCGAAGACCAAAACGCGGTGGTGGGGTGGTTTGAAGATAGCCCCGGGACGATGTTCCCCTGTCAGGGTGGCCGAGGGATTTGCTGTCAATTCTCATTGATAGTAAGGACTAAAAGTCTTACGAAGTCATGTCAATAAAGCCCGCCTACGGGATACGGCTCAGATCCGTCGATCTTGGCCCTCCTGACATCCAGATGCTTCTCCTTGATCGTGGCAGACCGCTCGTGAAACACCTTCATGGATTCATTCTGCTTGTAGATCTCAGAGTCCTCGAGACACCCGGCGGCCTTCCAAGCCAGCTTGGACCGCTTTGCTCCGAAAAGTTGTCTGGAGTCCACCCCAAGACCTTGGCTCAATTTGCTTCGAGCCCGCTTCTGAGCAGCAATCAAGGACGACTCCGTTCCTTCGCGGGGACCTCGCCGAAGACCACAGTCCTGTCTTCTCTTGTAAACATGAAACCTGCGGCCGTGGTGGTGAATCCAAAGTTCTGCCAGGCGTTTGGAGAACGCATTGAGTTCCAGCAGTGGGGACCCAGACCCAGATCCAGGCACAGCTAAGGCCACCTGAACCTTCTTGGAAAGCTGAAGAAGACCTGGACCTTGCTCTGGGAAAGTCCTTCGGCAGACCTCTGCCTCGTCCTGTGGTCCATCCAGTCGCAGCTCCAAGGCAGCTTCAATATCTTGGGATTCAGACTGGCTTGCCCCGCAGTGGGATTCGACAAAGCGGCGAAGCTCCGAAAAGTTGCGCTCCAGTGTGCAGGATGAGACTTCCAAGGACAGGTAGAAAGACAGCAGCACGTTCAAGACCGTCCAGTTTTTGTCCATCACTGTAGCCCAAATGCCGCGATTGTCGTTGCCGATCTCCTCGTCCGTGTGCTTCGAACAGAGGTAAGACCTCGAGCCATCAATGTTGTGGTGTTGATGTTTCTTCAGGTTTAAGCCTAGGCCTATTCACCCTCGCTCCGTAGAGTTTGGACAAGACAAGTCAAGGAAACCCATGATGTCATGGAGACCCAATGTGACATTCTTAGGGCCGGGCGCAGCGTCTCTGTACTGCTGAATACCAACAGTTTGCTGGTCGTGGTCCATGCCCAAGTCCTTCAACCAGAGACGGACCAAGACCTCCAAATTGACCTTCCCCACGGTGCTGGACTTCCGCCACAAGACCAAGTCCAAGGCCCTGAGTGTCATCTTCATCTCCTGGTCTGGGAGCTCTGCTGCCACTCGGCCAAGAAAGGCCTGTGTGGTCACCTGAAAGCTAGAGACCGTTTCCTGGACCTCTGGCATGCGACCGGACCCGGAAGGCCAAACGTTGTAGACCTTGCCATTGACCTGGATTTCCGGTGTCTGCATGGCATGCTTCGCGGCCAAGACCACACCTTATCTGTGCGAATGATTGTTACACACAGGGTACAGAAATGACACAATATAGTCTCGAAGTTGCTCTGTAAGCCTACAGGTTATGCTGTGTATCTTTTATTTTGATGCGTCCGGGCACTGGACTGCTCTTCATCTGGGACGTCCTGTAACTCGTCAAAGATGCGAGCTTCCAAAAACAAGCTGGTAATCTTGGCTTTGAAGGCAGCGATGCGGCGATGGACCGTGGCCACGTCGAAGTCCTTTTCCCACTCACGCAAGAAGCCCGTGACCTCACTGCCAAAGTCGGCCGCCAAGCCCAAGGCGATCAAAAGACCGGGCCGCATGCCGGCCAGAAGCTTGTGACACTTCGCACGCAGCTGAACACCTGTACGCTGGTCTGCGGCAGTCATTGCCATGAGCAGCGCTATCGGCGTCAGGAGGTAGATGAAGCGGCCTCGTTTGCACCACAAGAACTAACGACAAATGAATTGAACACATCTCCCCTCTACCCCACCTTAAAGTTTAAAGCAGTCTCATGCCGCCGCGAAACGCAAAGGACAGGCTGCACTTTCCCATCTCTGCGGAGCCCAACAGAAGTGTCGTAGGTTAGACCGCAAAATGTTGTGGATAGCCCCATCCTTCTCCAAGACCGACCTATTCAAAGTCATCAGCCTGGCCCTCCATTCGTGCGAATGTTGAAGGGCAGGGAACAAGGAGCCTGCAGACAGACCAGGGAGAGCTTCATTTCGAAACACATGCTACTCCTAAGACAATTAAGACCTGATTCTGTTTAGACAGCCCGGCCGTCCCCACTGTTGATGAGACCCCACAGCTCCTCCTGCTTCGGGTCGGCCGCTAGAGGGGGCTGGTAGGAACACCGTAGCATGTGCGCCATGTCTCGAGACAGCAGTACTATCTTCGGATAGTACCGAGACCTTAAGACCCTGCCGACCTTCTGGACGTACGGACATCCGTCCGCGCAGAAGCTGCGGACGTTGTTGCGGAAGACCTGCATGAGTCCTTCGTCCGGTTGGTCTGAACCCATTGGTGTGCAAAAGACCTCCACCAGATGATGAACCGTCGCAGCCGCAGACACGCTTTTGTCCTCCTCCCACTTCTCCGGGTTGTCCAGCAACAGCTTGCTGCTGTGCATGCATCCAACGATGCCACCAAAGACCTGCCCATCAGCCGTACAGCACTTGAAGCGCAGCAGCCTGTAGGGGGAGAAGCCCTTGTCGTCCAGAGACAAGCAGATAGACCTGGCCTGCTGTAGCTGCTGGCGTTTTTTCTCCCTGACACACTCCCGCAGAATCAGACGCATCTGGGCGATGGCACGCCGCTCGACCTCCTTGACCTGCAGTCTGTTCGAAGAAATGAATTGCTGAGTCAATGAAGACCTGGTTGACCCGCGGGAAGACAAGTTGACCCGGACCGTGTCAGACCATACCGACAGCCAGTCGCTGGGTTGTGGAACAGACCCTTTCAGCAGGTCCAAGTCTGAATCGCAGCTGGGCGTAGCGAAGACCTGGGCCTGTGCAGGAAGACGAAACAGCCTCCATGCGGCCATGTGTTGGTCGCTCTGGCTGTGCTTCTTGAATGCACACGTTTGCATGCTGGCAATGCCGTCAATCTCGAAACGGCTCCATTTTGTGCTGTAGCTGCGCCTCATTTTTGCAGAGCCCTTGTCCAGCTGTAGACGAAGAACCATCTGCGCACAAAGTACACATCCAAGACCCCACTTTGGACGGCAGCGCTCCTCCAGCCAGACCGTACGAGACCCGTTCTCAGAATGAGAGCCGACCGACATTTGCCATGTCTTGCCACGAATACGAAACTTCTGCATTGCAGTCATTCCATCTTCGTCCTGGCGAGCTGCTTTCTTTCGGGGTACCTCAGAGACTGAGACCGAAACCTTCGGCCCAGACGTGGCTGCCCGAAGATCTGCAGCACGATGCCGGCGTGGCCTGTCCTTTAGCACGACACTGTCAGACAGTTTTTCTCGAGGTCGAACCACCATGGCTCGACCTAATCGCCGAAGTCCTCTAAGCCCATGAAAAAAACTTTGAAAACCTCCTCAGTCTCGCCCTACCCAGAGGACCGCCGATTGAAAAAAATCAAGCGGGATTGAAAATTCTCAGCGTTTTGATTGTGTCGATCAAATTCAATAGAAAACGATCTTTTTCAATAGAAATTTAAATCCTCAAAATCAATAGAACTGCGACATAAAAATCAATAGAAACCTCCACATCAAAATCAATAGAAAATCTCCATAAAATCAATAGAAATTTTCCATAAAATCAATAGAAATTTTCCATAAAATCAATAGAAATTTTCCATAAAATCAATAGAAATGTTATCTCAAATCAAACGAGAAACACTTCTGACATCAATAGATTTCAGCGCTATCTCTGCCTCCACCACTATATATAATACCTCTACCTCGACCTCAACCTGTACCTTTATCCGTATCTCTGCCTGTATATCTCTACCTTTACATCTTTACTTCTTTATCTCTCTATCGCTGTATATCTCTCTATCGCTCTACCGCTCTATCGCTCGATCTACCGCTCTACCGCTCGGTCGCTCTATCTCTCTATCTCTTATATCTCCCTGTCTCTCTATCTCTCCATCTCTACCTGTATTTTTATTTCTATATATCTATCTCTTTCTTTTTTCTCTTTCTCTATCTCTCACTTTCTCTTCCCCACCCTTTCCCAGAAGGCTTCCAGCCTAACACTTCTTTTTCACAGCAGCGGCAGGGAATCTTGGGTGAAGCTTCTTTTGAGCTCTCCTTCGAAACTTGGCCTTGTAAAGGCCTCGGAGCCTAACTTTCAAAAACGGTTCCTGGCTACTTGGACTTGGACGTGGAATTGGACTCAGGCATTCCAGCCTAACACTTCTTTTCCACAGCTGCGGCAGGGAATCTTGGGTGAAGATTCTCTTGAGCTCTTCCTCAAAACTTGGCCGTGGAGGCTTGGAGCTTACCTTTCAAAAAAAAGCTCCGGGCTACTTGGGCTTGGACTTGGTATTGGACACTGGCAGCCCGCATGGCTGCAAGCCGTCCCTGACTCTCGGGTTTTGCTTGATGATCATTTTTTGAATCGGGGACAAAAAATCCCAAACGAGAAGGTGACCCGGCGGAGCTTCCGCTTCAGCTTCCTGTGAGGGGTCGTGGTAAAAGTCAGGCTCCTCTGGCCACTCCTTCATGGCCTGCTCAAAGTCACTCTGAGTGATCGGAGGGTCATACATGCCCAAGACCATCGTTTCCTGGCTCAGGCTCACGTTGTCCGGGCTCTGGTTTGGCCCCTTGGCCATGGTCTCGGCAGCTTGGCAAGCTTCCCAAACGGCTTCCAGACCTCCATCCGAGTTGTCTTCTTCCTGCAGATCTGTTTCGGCGTAAGGGTTTAAAAGCTGGTTATGAGGGTATAGGGGTTCACATCTATCTATCTATATATATATATATATATACAAAATCTATATATCGCACTGAAAGAATCCCGCCTCGAGAGCAAAGCAGGTGGCGGCTGCAGGCCTCTTGGCTGTCGTCTCTGCCGGAGTCTCCAAGGTGGCGTCTGGCCTCTTGACTGTCGTCTCTGCCGAAGTCTCCAAGGTGGCGGCTGGCCTCTTGACTGTCGCCTTTGCAGAAGTCTCCAAGGTGGCGGCTGGCCTCTTGGCTGTCGTCTCTGCAGGAGTCTCCAAGGTGGCGGTTTGGCTCTTGGGAGCTTGGCCACTGGAGGTCGTGGAAGTCGCAGGTCTTTTCTTGACGACCTTGACCTTGACGACGGCCTCCTTGTCTGCGAGCTTGGCAGCTGGCTTCTTCGAGACCGGGGCCTGTCGAGGCACAGCCAAAACTTCAAAAAACAGACTTAAGCTCGACAAGCTCACAGGCAAGTATCTGGCCTGCCGTGCGGCCGGCTTCTTCTGGCTTCCTACTTTTGCCATCTGAAGAGCCTATAAACTGCAGCTATAGACGGCGACACATTTTTAAGCGTCCGGATTATACCACTTGGGAATGTACGTATAGGGCCGTCCGGCCCTTAGCAGATGGCGCAAGCGACTTGTTTTCCATGGGCCGTTTGCAGTCGGCCTGGACCTGGACCGTTTGAGCAGCTTATGGCTCATGGGCCGCTTGCAGTTGGCGTGGACCTGGACCGCTTGCAGCTTGGCTGCTTGGGTCAGCTTGGCTCATCCAGCACTAGCAAGCCCTTTAAAAGCAGATGCCAAAACGTCCTGTACTTGAACAGGATGGTTTCCGGCACCTTGTGAGCTGCAGTGCCTGAAAGGCAAGCATTGGCGATGTGAGACATCAAGCCCATAAAGGATTCGGAACCATACGTCCAAAAAAACCTGGGGGCCAAGTGCTGCGAAACTTCTGGCAAGTGTGCCGTCATGTGAAACTTGGAAACTTGGCTATATCGACACTGCTGGGCATCAAAAGCCAGCTTGGCAAGATGGCCGTAGTGCTTGGTCAAGCACTGGACTTGGTCGGCGAATTTTCGCCTGACGTCCTGGGGCCACTTGAAGTCTTGCCTGTCCAGCAAGTCGTAGATGTCCCGCAGCGACTCAAGGACACGAAGTCGGTGCAGGCTTCGGCGATCATCTTGGGAGCCTGAAATTGCTGTAGAACTTTAAACAAGAATAAGGTCGTGTTCACATTTATAGATATAATGCAGCTTAGACACTGTACCTCCTGGCGAGCTCCACAGCAACAGGCATGAAATGCCTGATTCGCCTGCCCTTCTGGTGCTTGAGGCAAGGGTACTCATTGGCACTGCTGGCAATGTCAGACTTCCATTTCAGGTTCGGCAACCTGGTGCCTGAAGGAATGCCTAGCTCCTGGTAGATTTCCTGGATTTCGGCATTCAGGCAACTCATGTTGGTGTCCCTGGAACCTGGCTTGGAGTCTTCGATGATCTCCCAAAGCAGATTCCCCACCACATGGCAGGACACACCGAGGTCCAGGACGTGGAGGACGTCAAGCTTCAAAGCCTGAGCATTGACGCCTTGGACCTGGAAAAGCGGGTGCTCCAGCCTGGCTTCCAGCTGCCTTGGCCTGAGTGTTGTCCTTCTCCAGCCTGCTTCCTGGCGAAAGTCGTTCCAGCAGTTCTCGCCCTCTTGGGTGCAAGCGCACCAAAGGCAAGGGTTGGCTTGGTTCGGCCTGGGGAACTTGAATTCCTGGTAGAAGAACTCCATGTCCCCTGTGATGCAGTAGATCACTCCTGGCCTGAACCGCCTGGAGGTCGTTGGGCACCTTCCTGAGGCCATGGCTTGGAGGGACTCGCAGAGCTTGGTCCAAAGATCTTCCATGAGCTTGGGCGTGATGCACGACTTGGGAATGCAGGCCAGCAACAATTGGCTGCTTGCCTGGACTGCGAAAGCAAAAATTAGAGACACCAAGACCTAAATGGTGATTTTGCGGTCGTACTGCCGAAAGAATACTAGACAAGCCAAGCGTCAATCGAACGTCGTGACGTTATCGCTCTCATGGATATCACAAGCAGACTGTCCACCTTGGAGTGGGGAGCTGCGTCGCCGTGCAAAGCGAAAGGGACCAAGGCTTGGGTGTCCTGGAAAACTTGGTCAAAGTAGTCCTGGCTTTGCGACACCCTGGAGTTAGCGCCTTTTTGGCTGTCCCAAAACTTGGCAATGTCCTGGATACCCAGGATGTCATCGTCCATGCCATCCAGGCTTAGCATCCAGTTGTGCGGAAGCATGACTGGAAGCTTGCAGTCTACCTGGATTTTTTGGCCTGTGGCGCTTTTCCCCCATGCCTTGGTCTGCACGACCGTTGGGTCTGGAGCAGCCATGTCCTTGAAGACCCTGGAAAGCAGCTGGTGGTGCGTGTGGTTCGGGTTAACACCATGCGAACCCAAGCTGGCAAGTCCCACAAGGTCGGCCTGGGAGCAGCCTGACTTGACAGCTGCCTGGGACAGCTCCTGGACGACCTTGGCGCTCAGGTCTCCCAAACACCACAGCCTTAAAAGGGCCACCGCAAGTGGAGATTCTGGCTTTATCTCGCGACAGGAGGAAGAGGAAGCTTGGTCCTCCGTCTTCCTTTTCCTCCCTGACATGGCTTCGCCTGGACATCTAAACCTAAACCTGGCTTGGTCCTCGAAGCTTCAAAGCGGGGAATTTGCAACTTGAACACGAGAACAAAGGCAGTTTGCAGCAGTCCCTGGCAGCAAAACGCTTCTTTTTGGCGCTTGAAACTCCAGCTTTAGGTTTCAGTAGGCTCTCTCCCTTGAACTGCCTTTGCTCTTGGAGCCTAAGAGGCTGGAGGGTTCAAAACATCCAGACTGCGTGGCCTGGACTTAAGGCCGTTCACAGCTTGGAAAACCCTGCCTGCCTGGACTTCATGAAAACTATAAGCTAAAATCTCATCAGGAATAGCTGCCGGGTCAAGACTCAAGACTTCTAGCTTTTGCTGGACTCTGCAGGGCCGTGGTACCAAAGACTGTTGCGTGTTACACGTTGCTTGAGCTTGGGCCTCTATGCAGCCATCCTGAAAAAAAAACTGCTCAGGCGTCCTTAAGGGCCTTAGTGAGTTCCACCTTAAGCTTCTTGGAAGCTTGGAGGGTGGTCACCGCGTCAAGCAAAACGGGCTTCATGTCCTCCATCTTGCAAGCCTTCTTGCCAGCCAGGGTCGTGCGGATCCGCTCCAAAGCCTGCAGCTGCTTGGTGAGGGACTTCAAGAAGGTGGCCTTGTCGTCCAAGCCGCTGCCTTGGATCTGGAGCTTCAAGCCCTGCAAGAGACCGTATTCCTTGCCCAGCTCAGTGACGAAGAGCTTGGCCTGGAAATGGTTGGGCGAACAAACAGCTACAGAAACGGTTCGAGCTAAACTT